TTTTTTACTTAGGTCAAGTAATAGAAATCCAACTTCAATTCACCTCATTCAGCAACAACACCATTTTCACCAATCATCACCAAATCAGTCAACAAAATATAATCGTGTACGGCTGACAAGAAAAAGGCTCAAAGCTCAAATGGGCTACTAGGGAAAATAACGTTTAGGGTCAAAGAACAAGGCTAAAAAGAGCTAATCAAATAAAACGCCTCAATCATGTTCGCAATTTCAAACTCTAATCGATTCCTTTCAAACAAACTCAAGGCAAGTTCTAATCATTCAAGAACATGACCAATATCTCACAAGAAAGAAGAGTAAGGATCAAAACCTTACAAGGCAGATAAATGTCACTCAAAGCAATCAAGCAAATACCGAGGCAATGACCACACATCCGTTATCCCAACTTCCCCATTTCATCAAACATTCATCAACAATTCATATAATTCACCAATATCACATGCTCAACAACACACAAAATCCTAACACTAGACCGGTTCACCATATAAGCATGAAAAATCCAAATAGACTCCTCCTCACTTAAAATGAGGCAATGACCTCATTTCTTCAACTCAAAACAGAAAGTCAAATACTAGGAACAACAATCTCATAAAGTGAACCAATACTAGCAGACACCACAAGAACACAAGACTCAAAAGAGAACACAGAAAAAGAAAACAGACTCAAAAAGATAAAAAGAGAAATGATGTGCAAACCGAAGATGCCCCGTGGAGAATAACCATTCACGTGCAAGTTGCTCCCCTATGCTTAGCTTAGAACCTCGATGGTCCTCGTTCAATACAATCCTCCTACTCGAGCTTGTAATCCCGTACCTGCCAAGAAAAACACAAAAACTCCAAGACTCCTATTATTCAAATATAATACTAAAAGAGCAAAAATAAAAATATCTAGAAAAACAGTAAATTCCTTGGGTTGCCTCCCAAGAAGCGCTTGTTTAACGTCATTAGCTTGACGAAACCTGCAGAAAACTCAGCCAGGATCTAAGAAGAAATGACGGCCATGCCACGCCTTCGTATTCTCAAGAAGTGGTAGCTCAGGCTGTGTGGCTAGAAGGCGGGCATGGTGGATCCAGATGGTCATGTTCTGGATAATGCAGTCTCGGGCACGAGTAATCCCCAACTCTAGACGTAGAGCTTTTCCTACCCGAGTTTTGTTGTCAACCTCCGAAAGTATGAGCTCATCTGTGGAGCAAGTCGAACTAAATCCCACCCACTTCGTAACACAGTGTAGCGGCCTCGGAGATGGGTGCTCAAACTCGAAGATGGGAGGAGGGACTCGAGAGTCAAGCCCGTGGACCTCCTTCTCTGAAATATCATCAACGTCTCGCTGGGGATTATTATCCTCTTCTTCGGCCTCACACATTTGCTTCAACGTACGGGCTCGAGTATCAAGCATGAGGTGGGGGTCATCGACTTTTGCCTCGATTGAGCTGGTATGTGCTGCAAAATTCTCCATTTGTGTGCTCAGTCGAGCACACCCGAGCTCAATATCCACATCTCGAGTGGTCAAGGCAGATATGCGAGCAAGGATGAGGTCGATCTTTTCATCGAACGACAAAGCAGCCTCCCGAGGCTCATCCATATGTGTAGATTCGCCATGAGCGTTGGGCTTGGGAGAGAAATTGGTAGCTCGATCCTCTAAGGCTTGCACGCGCTCCACAAGTTCCTCGATTTGGGACTCAAGGTTGCTCTTACGGGCCGCTTGGGATGCCAAAAGAGTGAGGACCTGGTCGAGCTTGGCATTGTACTCCGAGGAATCCTCGAGGGACTCACATGGTTGCTCAACAGGTACTGACTCCCATTGTTGCTCATAAGGATATGACCAAGTCTGGCCATAGTCCCAATAATTGTA